TGATGCTTTGAACTTCTCTAAGACTTGGCTGTCCCAAATTGCTTGGGAGAGTGGATGGGGCTCAAGAAGCTCCTTTTGTGGTTCTCTGTCTATTTGACTTTGCATTTGCAAGACTTGCACACTGTTCTGCAGTGTATCGTTATGTTATCAAAGAGCATCCACCATGGCTAGCAGTTGGGTCATGTCTAGAGGGTCCTCCTCAGAAGACATTTTGAATGTGATTTTGATGTACAACCTGGGAAAGTTTTACCGAGGCTCCACGATAGACGACAAATGTTCTTGTTAAAAACACTAAACTGGGTAACCTTCTTGTAGGAACAAGGAGAGTCACAACATATGATGATTTTGGGGGATTCGAGTGGCACGAAGGTGTCCGTATGCACTCATGAGTATATGTCTTGCTTATCCCTCTGGAGGGAACCCCCTTTATATAGTTCTTCCATTGCTTAGTTTTCATACTGAAATTTTGGTATATCAGACTTCAGATGTCCTATGATATGTTGAGACATCTGAATCCGAACAAACAACAATGACAAGGTATAAACATACAAAACATTACTGAAAAGTAAACAACACACCATATTTGTTAACCCAGTTCGGAACAACTCTCATACTCTGGAGGCATACCAAGACATGGAGAAAGTCCACTATAATAGTATCAATTCGAAGCTAAACTCCCTCGTTTACAACTTCTCACTTAATCACTACCCGTGTTAACTTTCTACCTAAGACTCACCTAGGTATGAGGCCCTCCTCAACTCCCTCATCAATCACATGCAACAATTGGATCAAAACAGAAAAACACACTTTCATAACAATAAAACTAGAAGACACACTTCCATTATAATACCTAGCCAAGACTCTTGACTAAGAACAATACTTAGAGTTGCTTACAAGCTTCCTTCAAGAACAATACTCACTCTTGCTTCACATCTTCGAGGAGAATATAGACCAACTCTCCTAGAGAGTGACTTACGGACTCAACTCTAATAACTACATCTTTTCATTCACGTCTGGTACCTTCTCTAGGTTACAATGCTTCTACTTATAATCTTTTTCCGAACTGAATTTGTGCTTTAAATCACAATATATCAACTGCTACAAATCAGCAGAGACTTTTGCTACAAAATAGGTCTTCAAACAAATCTTTCCTAATTTATCTCTGTAATTAGAAAGTCAATATCCTTCAATATTCTTCTTGGTTCTAACTTGAATCTTCCAGACCTATAAAACAACACCACATAGGATAACATAATATTCCCAGAATATTCTGCATCTGTTAAATCTTGAACTGATCCAACTGTCCAGCCCAACACAGGCGTGATGTCGAATGACTCTGCATAAGACATCTTATCTGACATGTTGCTCCAGATGATGAGAACTTCTCATCTCAACATGTCTCAACATAAAATAGGACTTCTTGCTCAACTTGTTCTTCATAGCAAGTAATCACATCCTATTTAACATATTACTTCTATATTTGTTTTACTAAAATTAATGTCAATCCTAAAAATAGAGAACTAACACATACCGTGTCAAGCGAGTATAATGGTCGCCGCCAACCATGAATGGGTGCATTCAAGATAGCATAATGTCTGTATTAATTTGCCGACAACCGTTACACTTGCGTCTGGGGCCGGGCTCCTAGTCGACTACGGGTTGTTGGGTCCCCCGATCATGGACATTCCCTGACTTCGTGCTCCAAATGAGTTAATACTCTGGTGTAATGATTACCCGACTTCTAATTTCAAACGAACTAGTACCCGGTCCTATTACCCTTTGTCCACATTAGAATAAATATTTCTAGAATATACAATAATTATAATCATGTAATTTTTCAAAAATAATTTTCATATAAAGTAATTCTAAATAGGTTCAAATTTAAGTGATTATTCAAAATAATAACATAAAAATTATAATAAAATAATGAAATAACTAAAATAATATTTTATGAAAAATAATGTAAATTATTTTTTCATTAGAAGCTTATATAAGCAAATCTTTATAAAAAAATCTAACAAAAATATAACATTATAAAAACTATTTTTTAATAAAAGACTGAAATAATCGGGTCAAGAAACAAACAGTGTATTAAAAAATAATAAATAAATATTCTCTATGTTTTTTTTTATAAGTTGTTTTTAATTTTTTTTTACATGTATTAAGAAAAATAATTATTGTGGTAAAGAAAAGAGAAATTAGAAAAAAATTTATAATATTGTCAACCATTAATTGCATGAGAAAGATAAATTTAAATAATTGAAAGAAAAGATGGTAATAAATATTTAAATGTATAATATAAAAAATAATATTCTCTCTATATATATAACGGAGGAAGTAACATTACAGCAACATCAACCACAAAATTGCAAGCAGCAGTATCCTAAAAAAAATTCAAGCAGCAAGATGGCGACTTCTGATAAAAACTTACTCCTAAATTATGTTCCAGTTTATGTTATGCTCCCAGTAAGTCATCAAACACATAAACTAATGTGTTTCTAAGCTACCAAATTCAAGCATTTTCTAACATAACACATAAATGAATAAATAAATAAATAACATATGTTTGTGTATGTGTTTATTGACTAATATTGAACATGTTTTCTTTGATTTTTCTTTGTAACAACTTTTTTTAGCTGGGAGTTGTAAGTGTTGATAATGTGTTGGAAGATCCGGAGGGCATTAAAGCACAGCTGGTGCAGCTACGAGCAGCAGGCGTGGATGGAGTTATGGTTGATGTCTGGTGGGGGATCATTGAAAAAAAAGGACCTAAGCAGTATGATTGGAGTGCTTACAGAAGCCTGTTTCAGCTTGTTCAAGAAACTGGTTTGAAACTGCAAGCTATCATGTCATTCCATCAATGTGGAGGGAATGTAGGGGATGTTGTAACCATCCCAATTCCACAATGGGTTCTTGACATTGGAGAATCAGATCCTGATATTTTCTACACCAACCGCTCTGGTACTAGGGACAATGAGTATCTCACTAATGGTGTAGATAACAAGCCTATCTTTCATGGAAGAACAGCCATTGAGGTTGGTTTAACATTGAAATTGTAACTAACTTTCTTTTAACTAACATCCCTACTGTAATATGATCTGCAAATGCAGCTATACAGTGATTACATGAAGAGTTTCAGAGAAAACATGTCAGATTTTTTAAAATCAGAGGTTATTATAGACATTGAAGTTGGCCTTGGTCCAGCAGGTGAACTCAGATACCCGTCCTATCCACAAAATCAAGGATGGGTATTTCCTGGAATCGGAGAATTTCAGGTGATTATGACCTTGCTTTCAAACAAAAGTGTTTTTGGATTTTCAATTCAGCACTAAAATTCTAATATAAAAAAAAAAAAATGAAATTATGCAGTGTTATGACAAATATTTGAAGGAAGATTTCAAATCGGCTGCAGCGAGTGCAGGCCATTCTGATTGGGAACTACCGGATGACGCTGGCACGTACAATGATGTACCAGAATCTACTGAATTCTTCAAAACAAATGGCACATACCTTACTGAGAAAGGGGAATTCTTCTTAACTTGGTACTCTAACCGATTGCTGAATCATGGTGATCAAATCCTAGATGAAGCTAACAAAGCTTTCCTTGGCTCTAAAGTCAAATTAGCAATCAAAGTAAATTTCATAAAACAACAATTAATTAAAGACAGTAGTTAGTTACCTTCACTTTTTCCTGACTAATTAACCTCTAACCATGTTAAAGGTTTCTGGAATCCACTGGTGGTACAAAGCTCCGAATCATGCTGCTGAACTCACTGCTGGATACTACAACCTTGATGATCGGGATGGATACCGTCCCATTGCTAAAATCGTCTCCCGTCATCATGGCATTTTGAACTTTACATGTCTTGAGATGAGGGACTCGGAACAAAGCTCTGAAGCACAAAGTTCACCACAGAAACTTGTTCAGCAAGTAACTCATTACAAATTTCTCTAATTTGATGCATATGTGAAATGTAAAATGTTGTATATAGAAGTGGTTATTAAATTGAAAAACATGAACATATGTGCAGGTATTGAGTGGAGGTTGGAGAGAAAACATTGAAGTTGCTGGAGAAAACGCACTTTCAAGATATGATGCCACAGCTTATAACCAAATCTTACTGAATGCAAGACCCCAAGGTGTCAACAAAGATGGCCCTCCAAAACATCGGATGTATGGAGTAACATACCTTCGTCTATCGGAAGATTTATTGCAACAAACAAATTTTGACATATTCAAAAAATTTGTGTTAAAGATGCATGCAGATCAGGTGAGCAGATGACATGCATACACTTGAAAGATCATGTTTTTGAACTTTGTCTTAAGTTTAATAATCACTTTGCTGCCTCTGAAACCTTTCCCTTCAAATTGTAGGATTACCGTGAAGATCCTCAAGACTACAATCATGGCATACCACCATTAAAGCGATCAGAACCAAATATTCCTGTTGATGTTCTTCTTGAGGCAACTAAGCCAATCCAGCCGTTCCCTTGGGATTCAGAAACAGACTTGAAAGTTGATGGCTAACTTCCCAATTTGACAGGAAGAATGGTCATGGCACCAGCCGGAAATAATATCTACTGCTTGGGATTTTCATAATGCTCCTACATGTGCTATGCAAATAATATTTGAATAATGAAGCAATGTTTAGACATCTAAACATTTCTTCTTGTGTGTATTTTTTTGGTGTGCTTTCCTATATGTGAGATTAATAAACTGTGTTTTATCGAAACACTGAGCTCTCTGCTTATAAACACATCAATATCACTATATCCATAAAAGTGAAAAAAATATACTCAAATTAGAGTGTATACTTCTGTAACCATATCACTTAAATGTTATATTGGGTCATATGAAGTTAAATTAAATTCTTAATCTTATACTTATGATGGTCCAAACAATTCATCTTATAACTAACTCAGTTGTTGAATTCTATAATTGAATGACAGGATCTGCAAAAACCGAGACTTCACTCAGTCCACCCTCGAGTTTGAGTTATTCAAACAGACAAAAAGAGCAAGCAAAGTAATCCCATCTCCAACAACACCATACATCTTCTCATTCTATCAAAAACCACCAAAGTATTCCCTGATTGATTATTCTTAACATACCCAGATATCACAGTGTTCCAAGAAGTTAAGTCCCTCACAGGCATTTTATCAAACAGAAACCTTGCAGTTTCCGTTTCACCAAACATAGAGTAGAATGAAAGAAGCGAATTTCCAAACACCAAAGCGTAAACCTTTCTACCCATTTAAAGAAACAACAAAACCAACGAAATGGAAAAAATTTGGAGATGCGGGGTATCGATCCCCGTACCTCTCGCATGCTAAGCGAGCGCTCTACCATCTGAGCTACATCCCCGTGATGTTAGTCCGTGCATTAGCATGATATTAATAAAATATTTACTTAGGTAAGAGAATGTATTTCTTATTTATATAATACTCATTGAACTGTTTTTGAATGCATTGTGTCTCGTCTCTTCTTTTGAACTTTGAAAAAAACTGGTCAATGAGTTTTGAACCCCTTTCCCTCTAACTCATAGTATTCATTTCCTTCCACTAAAACACTTGTGCTTTTTAATTATCATTTGTAATGCATATGTATATTACAAAATACAGTAATTTGTTTTGTTTTTAAGTTTTTATATTAATTCATGTTTGCTCTTAATTTTACTACCTCATTTTAATATATTATTACTAAATGGAATACACCAATAATTAATTCATTCTTTAAAGTTTTTATTATGAAAATAAAAACAATTTCAGAAATACGAAAGTAAATCAACAAAATTGAGACCTATGACAATTCAATCTTGATTAACTTGAAATTGATTTGTTTCTTTTAGTTTTATTATTGGATGAAAAATTGAAATTTGAGTATAAATATTGTAACACTTGTATTTGGCAATTTTTTTTCTTAAATTTAAACTTGTTATTTATCAAAATTTTCTCAATTAATAAATATTTAATTAAATTAATTTTATGAGTTATATAATATTTAATTAAAATAATTAATTAGTTTATTAAATTCAATAGTTAAATATACCGTAGTTAATTAATATTTAAAATTATTAATTTATTAAATATTTTTAACTATTAATATTTTTAAAAAGATTTCTCAAAAAGAATTAATATATTTAACATTATTATTTAATATTTTAAACAAAATGCAGTCCATTTTAAAAAAGTTCTTGTAAAAACAAAACTCCACATGAATTTTTTCAATACAAAATATTTTAATTATTATTTAATTATATTTGACATTTTAGAAAAAATTAATTTTCTGTTAAAATAAATACACATGAATTGCAAAAAATAATTTAACATTATGCAAAAGCATGATTCGCAATATATAGACCTGAATTGCAATTAATAGACAAATTATATATGTGATTTATTGGTAAAGCAAATTCACTGTCGTTAATCATGTAGGCGTTTTTGTAACAAAATTCTGACGTTAGGGACACACAAAATCAAAAATTCGCTGACTTATATGAACGAAAACACTATTTAAGTCTTAAAGATGAGATAACTTATTTAAGTTTATATTGAAAATGTTTTTAATATTGAGGCTAAGCGTGAAATTTTAGAAGAATTAATAGGAAAATTCTGTGATTTATTGGTAAAGCAAATTCACTGTCATTAGTCATGTACGCGTTTTTGTAACAGAATTCTGACGTTAGGGACTAACGTAAAAGAGAAAGAGACATATAAGAATTTAGACACACAAAAAATGATTCAGGGACCAAAATCAAAAATTCACTGACTTATATGAACGAAAACACTATTTAAGTCTTAAAGATGAGATAACTTATTTAAATTTATATTGAAAATGTTTTTAATATTGAGGCTAAGAGTGAAATTTTAGAAGAATTAATAGGAAAATTTTGAAGTTTAGTACATATAAAATTTTTTTATGAGAAATGCTGATGAACGTTGAGGGTCACATTTTAAGTGTTTAAAGAAGTAATTTTTTTTCTGGAAATGCGTGTATTTAATGCATTGAGAATTAAAATGATAGACTTTTATAAAGAATATTTTCTTTATTTAATATTCCATTTGTTTCAAAATAACTATGGTTTAAGTTTTTTGCACACAAATTAAGAAATGTAATGTATTATAAATAATGTAGAGCGTAAAAAGTAAATGACACAATTAAAAAATAGTAATCATTATTACATTGAAAAGTTAAAATGACAATCATTTTGAAATAAAATTTATTTACTAAAATGAGTCATTTTGAAACAGCGAGATTATCTTTAAAAGAGTGTCTTGGGACACTCGTTAGCATCATCCTTTTTTTATTTCTTCACGAAATTGCTTAAATGTTTGTGAGTAAAAAATATTTGTGAGATTTTCATGTTGTTTGTGTTGTGGGTTATTGTAATTTATTCAAGAGAATTTTGTCTCTTGTGTAATATTATTGTAATAAGTTGTTGTTTGGTTCATGAGCTTAACTAATTAAAAAATTTGTTTGGTTATTGAGATTATCTAGATAAATTTTGGATTTGATTTGTGAGTTCAACATGTTAAAAGCTCTCATTTGGCTATTGAATTTGGTCTTCAAAAATTCTTTTTGGTTCTTGAGCTCATCATGATGTAAAAGCTCTGTTCTATTCTAAGATTAGCCTAGTTTAAAATCTCTCATTTGGTTTAGGGATTAGTCAGTGTAAAATCTCTCGTTTGATTATAAGAAGGTCTGTGGACATAATCTGTGAAAAATCACATCTCATATAATGGAAACTCTCGAGAATAAATTCTTGAGAATAGAAATGTACTAAGTTGTTAGGTCGAACTTGTATAAATCTTATGTACATTTCTCTCTTCTCTTATCTCTTTACATTTTTGTCATTTATTTCTTTTTGTTGTATTTCCTTCTTTACATCTCTTTGGCTTTCTTTTTTGTAATTATTCTACTGCATATTCTCTGTTCAATTTATAAAATTATCTTAAATATATTTATAAGCAAACAATTTAACTGGACATCATTTTTCAACCTCCATAATTCACATCCCTCTTGTGTTTGAATTCACTTGTCCAATACATAGAATATTATACTCTCCAGCAATAGACACTCTATAAAATTAGACATCTGCCTAGACCCCAAATGACTCGCCATCATATGATTGTAGGGGAAGTCGGCCAAAAATTTATATGCCCGCCCTTATAACTCTTGGTGTCAAAGTCCAAGTTCCAGAGGGAAGGTTTCACCTTGTCCCCTGAAAGAACCAAGGAAATGGTCCCCTTAGGAAGAAATCCCTCGAGGTTCACGTTGTCTTTGTCGTTCAAGTCTATGGTTACATCATGCTGGACAACTTTACCTTTCTGGCCCTAAACCAAAGATGAAGCCACTTCAAACAAGTCATACTTGATATTCTTCAAATGCTTCAGAGAAATATTAGTCACCCCTTTATCCAGTCTTTTTTGTCCCTTGATGAACAAGACGATAAAGTGACTTTTAGGGTCATCAGACCACTTATTATAATACCCTTCTAACTCCACATGAATTTCTCATATAATTTACGAAATAAATTAAGTAAAATTATCACTAAAGGGTGTCATACTTCATAGAAAATACGTATTAACAATTCTGCTCTGTAACACGAGTTACATCAATCAAAAACATGCATCTGGTTACAATTCAACACATCATTTAAAATCATTGCAACTGAACTCATCATCATATTATAGTAGTTAACTTCTCAAAACTCATACATTGGTCTCATCAATTATTAAAAATCAGGTTAATAATCAAAGTCGTCATGAAGTATGTCAACATCAAAAAAAATATAACATTCATATAATATAGCGTTTCTAACCCGATGTTACATATCAAAGTAAGACACCACTAATGTAGCGAAACTAAATATTCCCTCTGTCCCAAATTATAAGATGTTTTGGGTATTTCACATGTATTAAGAAAAGTAATCATTATTGTATGGGAAAGAGAAATTATGTATTACTTTACACTATTGCCCTTCATTAGTTATACATGAAAGAGAAATTAAGAGAATTGAAAGAAGAAAGAGAAATAAATAATAGAGTATATATTAGGAAAAACATCATTAATGTTGCATTGAAATTGTAAAGTGACTTATAATTTGGTACATATTTTTTCTCTAAAGCATCTTATAATTTGGGACGCAGGGATTAAAACACTCTGAAGCTATCTTCAATACTTCTACAAACTACTCGTGGTCACCTGCGCGTTACCCACGTGGAGGCAACATTCAAATAGAAAGGGTGAGTAATCATGATTCATTATAAAAGATATCAAAAAAAGATTAGTAGTTATATACAACATCATCATATAATCAACATATATCATTCATCGACAATTCATACTCATTGATACATCGTACCAACACATAAAGATCTTTTATCGTCAAAATATCATATAATCACATAGTTCACAATTATCATCATATCACAACTCATCAACGAAATTTATGAACACCTGGTTCATCACCCTCCATGATCCTCACCATAAGATCGATTCTCTTTTGGAGCCGGTGCACGCCACAAACACACTAAATGCACACAATGGGACTGAGGCTCGTCACAAGCGGACCACCATCCAAAATACTATGAATGCATAATGCACAATAACGTCATATAAAATTCGACCATGGCTAGTCAATTGCATCATCATTCATATAACCATCACCACATAGCATGTATATACATTAAGCAGGCACATCATTAATATCATCACAGATAACATCAATTATATCATAATAACAACCTCATGGCAACTTCGCAGCATCAATCAAACTCATCATTAAAATAGAACATATTAGCATATTAAGCATATAATGATTCAATCTCATAAACACCTAGGTTCTAAAATTATGAATCAAACAACTCATAAAATTTTGTCATAATGTAGTTCTGCACGTCAGCTTCCCAATGTTTCGAACGACGCGTCAAATAGAGTACTGAAACCCAAGTTACGACACTTTGAAATTACTTCCAGGTTTGCGCGCCTAAGTCTCGCCTGGGGACCCTGGAGCACTCTTCTCGCCACCTCATCACCTGAAGCCCACATGTCAATTGGGACCATCGATGCTTCGCTCGCCCGACGAAGCTCTGGCGAAATCCCTTCCCCATACATATTCCAGGAGCCTTCTTTTCCACCATCTCACTCGCCTGCTGGCTCGCCCGGAGACGCTCGAGCGATTGGCTCGCCCTATGCTTTCCCCTGGCTCGCCCGACTATGCGAGCGATACAACAACTTCTCAGTTGTGAATTT